AAAATGACCAGTTCAAGAGAATTCAAACCCATAAATTTTTTTAGGGTAAATTATAAATATATTCCTTGAGATTTGTTTAAAGTAGAGATTGCTCTCTGTGATTTGAAAAATTACAAATATCTTTTTGTCAGAATTTTTTATTTAACAAAATTAAGTAAAAAAATAAAATCCATAATTGCTCTTTTATGTAATAATAAAATTACTTAAATTATTAATTAAAATATATTTTTAATATCATTAAAAACTGTTAATTAACTTGATAATTTATTACTAAAAAATATGATTTCTTACGAAATTAGAAATTTCGGAAATATAATGTAATTTTTAAAATTATAAGGAGTGATTTATTTATAATTTATTATTTTTTCAATAAATTAGTAGACTATAGTCCGATATTTAAAGATTATCTATTAGTTTTGTCTTTTTCAGAGGTGACGCAAGATCTTGCCTGGTCCACAAAGCATCATCATTAATAAAGACTAGTCTCACACACACACTGGAATATTTGTACAAACGAAAGGCTCCAATGAAATGTTTCAGTGTGATTATTCGTCATTTGAAATAATTTAAATAAATGTAGTTTTTTTTATTTTTTTTTTTATAAAAAAATATATGAAAAAATAGAATGATGATATGATCCAAATATATATATATATATATACATATCTAAATAAATATATTTATTTAAAGGATGTCAAACAAACTCTAAATTAAACAAATGGTTTGTAGATGTAATCCCAAATTATTTTTTATTCTCTACATCGAATTAAATATATTCTTGTAAAAGCATATGCAATCATTCATTAGATATTTTATTAAATTTTGATAAAAATTTGATCTGATACGATATACTCTAACCTGTTTATCAAATCTAGTCGGTCGGTCATCCGACTGGTCGTCTGTCAAAAGTAAATTTTCATCAAATTCATTTCAAAACCAATTATTTGGGAAGATGTCCACGAGGACATTTGGGTGGATGTCCTATCTAATAGTTATCTACAAATTTGATAGAACGATAAATGTTACATTCATTTGTTGAAAAAAATATCACTTTCTCCCTTTAATACCAAACTGGTGAAACTATTGGAGCATGATTTTCATTAGTTTTTCATCAAATTTAAATTTGATAATTTTGATAAAAGATCTAATGAATAATTGGAGATGGTCTAACCGATACAATGTTCAAAACTTATTTCAATACACAAATGATGAGAAATTATTGGTTGGCCTTGAAGTATTGTTCCATACCATTCGAAACAAATGTCCCATTATCTTCTAAAAAGAGACAAAAAGATGGTGAGTCTCATTGATTCAACTAATAACAACTAAGTTGTAGCACCGCATCAGTTTGCCCCAGGAGCAAACAATAATTTTTCCTACAAATGACACCCTTTTGAGTTGGTTTGGCTAGTTAGCTATTTTAGTTGGCTTTTGAATTTTTGATTATTTTAACTTAGTTAAAAAAGTTATGTTTGGAAAGATAATTGGCTTTTTTTTTTTAATTTTTTTTAAAATTTTCTTATAGTTGATTTGATGATTGTGAAAGAAAAAAAAAAGTGAAATGCTTATAATTTAGATGTAATATTTTATCTTATTAACTATTTTTATTTATTTGTCTTTATTGTGTATTTTAACCCAAAACCTTATTCCCAAACACGAAACACCTCTATCACATTAGGTTATTTTGGTTTTGAAAAAATTATATAAAAAAAAAAAATTAAAAGAAAATCAAATTTTGATTCTTGTAATAAAATTATTTTTAAATTTTTAATTTTATTACTTTAAATCATAATCTTTTGATTTGTTTTCAATCTAAATATAGTTTATTTTTATTAAGTAAAACCGACAAAAAAAAAGAAGATATTTTAATCATTAAACTCAATATAGATGTACATAAAATGTCTTAAATAATCTTTTTTGTTTAACGTAATTACTAAAATACTGTTTTTTTATTAGTTTTACTTAATAAAAATAGGTAGATAGTTTTTTAAAAATAAATTAAAAGATTAGAGTTTAAATTGATAAAATTAAAAATTCAGATTTTATTTTGCTACAATAGTTATACCTTATATATATATATATATATTTGTAATTTTCTCTTTTATTTTTGGCTAAAATAATGAATAAATCATTAAATTTTAATTTCATTAAATTAGATTTTGTGATTTGACTCGGCAAATGTATCTACTGATTTTAGCTAATTAAATATTAAAAAAACATTTTACTTTTATTGTTTGGAAGTTAGTTGTGTTGAACTTATAAAAAAATAATTTTAAGTTAAAATAAAAAGTTAATATTTAAATACTATAAAAAAAAAAAAAAAGAAAAAAAAAAGATAGTTGGTTGAAGAGTGTATTAAAAACATTGCATAATTAAAATAAAAAACAATAAAATATAACATAAATTTAATTAATTTTAATGGAGATCCTGTTAGGTTGAGTCTTGAAGATCTAGAAAACGTGTTTATAGGGTAGGTTTTTTTTTTTTTAGGTGCAACTTAGAATAGTTAAATTGACAAATGTCTAAGGAGAAAAAGGTCATTAACGTCTAAAGTTGAAATGTTATTTTTGGCCACCAAACGTAGAATTACGTCATATTTTATAAAAAAACACAAGCTGGACACTGCTCGCACTTGGTGTACGTTGAATTTTGGAGTTATTTATAGTTTTGAGTTAACAATTTTGTTTTTTTTTGTGCAACATTTGTTTTAGTGGTAACTAATTTTAAAAAGTTTCTTAAATAAAGTTGTATTACCTATGAATAATTTCAAATAACATAAATTCACTCTCTAAATTTTTTTTTTGAGATATTTAATGCCTGCCACCGGAAGGGGCTAAATAAGAAATAGGTCGGATCTAAGCCTTGGGCTGGTCCAATTTCCTAAGCCCAAATTCAAATGGGTTAGATGAGCATGTGGGCAACCCAACTAAACCCAACTCTATTACTAACAGTCCACCTAAGTTCTCAAGCACTTGGCCCAACTTGCAATGGAAAGGCCAATCTAGTTGCGATACTGGGTTAGGGCCGAGCTGCAGGACTCATTCTATGGGGCGAACTGATGGGTCGAACCCATTATCAGAACCAAAGTGGGCCGAGTCCATACACAAATATCCGAATGGGCCAGCCCATCCCTATAGTAGTCTCTCAAAGGGCCGAGCTGAGGCACAACGGTATCGAGCTGAGGGAACCTCTCAAAGAAACGTGGAAGCTGTAAGTATATGCATGTGAAAGTTGCCACCTCAACTGGTCCCCTACACCTAGAATCATGAAAAACAGATAAACTAAAAGAATGTGGTTTGTTATCAGCATGACCACAATGAGTATATGCACCCCTATGACAACTACCTGATGGTCCACCACCCTAGGCAATGCTAAAAGGAAACTTTACAGCACCAGAGCTCCATGAAACCATCTTGAGCAACAAGCAAGAGTTCTATAAAAACCACACTAACTTTACATTGAAGGTAACTAATCTAAGCTGAACCCCACTTACAAAAACTCAACTCTTTATACTTAGAGGGCACTTCACTTCTTCTTCGATCCACTTTCATCTAGTGCGGTATCCGATACGCACAATTGGTGCGGTGAACGTGGACGCTTTGTTTCTAAACTCTGCACTCAGTTTCGGCAATAGGGATTGAGGACATCCCACCTTTGACACATACTCCACAGATAGAGAAGACAAAGGACAAAGGCTTGGCACTCCCAACAGTCTTAGAAGAACAAATTGGAAACAATAATTGGACCCTCGAATCCGTTGAGCATCAATTGCCCTTCGCTGGGGTTCTTTTCATCACTTTTTTCTGAAAAAGGATTACAGAGATCGAATCATAGACTCCATAGGGATGGAGATACAGGAGCTGAAAGCGCAACTCAAAAGGGTGCTGGGTGATTCGACGAAAAAGAAGACTGAAGCAGAGCCCTCTCGCCTACGACAGAGAAGCTCATCTAGAGAACCACTAGTGAAGAAATTCCCCAGAAATGAGTCTAGGCGACAAAGCCAACCAATCCCAGTACAGAGTGAGGCGGCGAGTAGCCACACTCGTGGGTCACGCCGGAGAAGGGCTAAGAGGCAGAAAACGGTTAGCCAATAGACTGAGTACCCTCCTAAAGACCTTCGTACTTGGTTGATTTGCAACAAGCAGAATGAGCAACGTTGAGATCATCTAGACTATACCATCCACCAGAGAGAGCACCGAGCGTTGGATAGGTTTGTCTCCTCTCCATTCTCCCTGGAAATTGAGGCCATGAGACCTCCCAAGAAATTCACCCCGCCAAAGTTCACGTCGTACGATGGGAAGTCAGATCCATTGACGCACATTAGCCATTATAGATAGATGATGTCCCTATAGAGCCGAGACGAAGCACTGATGTGCAAAGTCTTCCCGTCCAGCTTGGGAGAATCCAGACTTCGATGGTTCTATCGACTCCCCGCTAGATCAATTTATGACTGGAAGCAGCTTTCTGAAGAGTTCTTAGCCATGTTTGTCTCCAACATTAAGATCCCGAAAGAGCCGGATACACTGTTCGGAGGAAAACACTGCGCAGTTATGTTAGGAGGTATTGGGAAGAATACAATGACCTGGAGGAAAACGTTTGCAGTGAGCAGATGGCTGTTATGTCTTTCAAACATGGTCTGCGCCCAGAAAGTAAGTTGAGACAATTACTTACCAAGCGCTTGGCCATAGCACTGTAAGATTTGCGTGCCAGGATTGAACAGTACGCTCACCTCAAAGATGACCAGATCCCCATCGAGGTAGCATCAGCAGAACAAACAGCTCGGCACAAGAAAAGAACAGACCGAGGGGAACATCGGGGAATCACGGTGAATGAGGTAGATAAATCCAAATCTCACGAAGCAGTCGTGACTGTATTCAAAGAACCAATCTATCATATCTTGGAAAAGATCAAGAGAGAGCCCTTCTGTGACAACCCTCGCCTCTGATTACTACTAAATTGTGACTGAATATGATACCACCTTTTTTGTTTGGCTGCCGAAAATGTTGGGAGATCCAGCACGGCGCAATCAGAAGCTCAGATGCACCTATCACCAAGACAGGGGGCATATGACTCAGAATTGCAGAGCACTAAAGCAACACCTGGAAGACTTAGTAGCAGCGGGACACCTCCGAGACTACATCAATCAGGATAAAGCAGTGGCCGAACTGGGGAACCCACCACCGGAAACGAACAACAAGCACCCAGCTCGACTGATAATAAATGTGATCCATGGAACAGCGGCCCAAGAGCCTGAAGAGGCACTGAAAGAAGAGATTACCAAGGCTGTGCAAATTCAGCAGGTCATGTCAGTAGAGCCCGCATTGAAAAAGGTACGCACGGTACCCAAATCCCCCTTGTGCACTGTTTCATTTATTAGAATGGATTTAGAAGGTATACAACACCCACATACTGATGCACTGAATATAAATGTGGGAATTGGGAAACGGTTTGACTTAAAACGAGTCCTGGTAGATCAAGGCAGTACAACAAACATATTGTATTATGACTTGTTCAGAAAGTTCGGTCTCTCTGAGCAGCACCTCACCCCAGCGACAGCTCCATTAGTCGGCTTCAATTCACAGCCAGAATGGCCACTTGGCAGAATAGTGTTTTCAGTTGTGGCAGGAATGATGACTCTCCAGATAGAGTTTGTAATTATTAATACACTTTCTCCTTACAACGCCATACTTGGTCGTTCATGATTCACCAAATGGAGGTGGTCCCTTCAACCTACCACCAGCTCATCCATTTCCCAACAGAACACGGAGTAGAGCAGATCTCAGGGGATCAAGTTGCGTCCAAACATTGCTTCATGGCGGCATTGAAGGCTAAACAACTTTGCAATCGAGTACAAACAGTGGAAGTGGCCAAACAACCAGTCTTGGAAGTTGTAGGGGGAGCACCAAAGGAAAAGATGGCAGGGGATTTGGAGAAAGACTTAGTAAAAGAGGATGATCCAAAAAAGTACTTCCTCATCGGTACCTCGCTAGGTGCTGATGAGAAACTTTAGCTGCTACAACTGCTGAGGGAAAATATGGAGGTATTCACGTGGTTAGCATATGATACTCCAGGGTTGAACCCAGAATTTGCTTGTCACAAACTCAACATCAACCCTTCCGCTCGGCCTGTCGCGCAAAAAAGTCGGAGATCCTCAATTGAGCACATTGAAGCAGTAATTGCCGAAGTCGAAAAAATCCTAGCATCGGGAGCAATCAGAGAAGTTCAGTACCCACAATGGTTGTCCAACACAGTTGTAGTAAAAAAGAAGAATGGAAAATGGAGAGTCTGCGTTGATTTCACCTGTTTAAACAGAGCTTGTCCCAAGGACATTTTTTCTTTACCTCGAATCGATCAACTGGTAGACTCAACAGCAGGGCATGAGCGTATGAGCTTTCTGGACGCTAATAGTGGTAATCACTAGATACCACTGTTCGGTCTAGATCAGGAGAAGATAACATTTATCACTCCAAGGGGCACTTATTGCTACAAAGTAATATCGTTCGGCCTCAAAAACGCCGGAGCAACTTACCAGCGAATGATCACTCGAATGTTCAAGGACTAACTCGGAAAGACCATGGAAGCTTATATAGATGATATGGTAGTAAAAAGAAAGCTCGCTCCAAACCACCTTGCAGACTTAAGAGAAGTTTTTGTTATCTTGAAAAACCATCAGCTTTGCCTTAATGCCTCGAAATACGCTTTCGGGGTAGGAACAAGGAAGTTCTTGGGGTACATGGTCACTCACAGAGGAATCGAGAAAAATTCGGATCAAATCAAAGCAATACAAGAGCTTGAAGTACCAATAAAGGCTAAAGAGCTACAGAAGCTGGCCGAAATGGCAGCCGCCTTGAATCGGTTCATCAGTAAGTCTTCAGATCGGATGAAGCCGTTCTTCCAGCTAATGAGAACAAAGGAAGCGTTTGAATGGAGTCCCGAGTGTACCGACGCATTGCAAAGTCTCAAGAGATACGTCAGTACACCACCTCTTCTGTCCACTCCAGAACCAAGAGAGGAGCTGTACCTATATCTAGCAGTCTTAGATCACGCCGTAAGCGCGGTATTGATTCGAGAAGTTAACAGAGAATAGATGCCAGTATACTATGTTAGCAAGACTCTACTAGATGCCGAGATACAGTACCTACCCTTGGAAAAGTTAGCTTACGCGTTGCTTATCGCCTCAAGAAAGTTGCAACATTACTTCCAGGGGCATACCATCAATGTCCTCACTAAATTCTCCCTCAGATCTGTATTCAGCCGAGCTGATTTCTTTGGCCGAACAGCAAAATGGGCAGTAGAACTTGGTGAGTTTGACATTCGGTATCAACCCAGGATAGCAATCAAGGCCCAGGTCTTGGTAGATTTCGTCGCAGAATTCGCTCCCACCTAGAGTACTGAGCATGAGAATCCCAGTTCGGCACAAGCGCTACACACCACCGAATAGGGAAAGTAATGTGCTTCGGAAGCATAGAAACTCTTTATTGGAAACATCTGACAGCTCTATGTCGACGGATAATCCAATAGCCGAGGCTCGGGAGCTAGGGTAATACTTATGTCACCAGAGGGATTTATTTGGGAGTAGGCTCTTAGGCTCGGCTAGAAGGCTTATAACAATGAGGCATAATACGAAGCACTGTTGGCTGGATTACGCAGTGCCGAACACTTCAGTGCAGAGCAACTTCTTGTTTTCAGCGATTCCCAATTGGTGGTAAACCAACTTTCTAGGGTCTATGAAGCACGAGACGAAAGAATGGCTATGCACGCAGGCCAGGCCGGGGATCTACTCAAAAGATTTCGATCCATACGAGTGGAACGAATCAGTTAGGACAAAAACAGCCATGTTGATGCTCTGGCCTGCCTCGGCTCATCAGTAGATACCAAAGACGCTAGAAAAGTTTGGGTTGAGTTCATGTCAGAACTAAGCATTGCATCTCTAGTCCTCTTCAGCAACTTAGAGCCAAACTGGATGGATCCAATACTTGCTTTTATGAAATTTGGCACTCTCCCCGAAGATAAAAAGGACGCCAACAAAATTCGACATAGGTCAGCTCGGTTTTGGGTCTTACCATCTGGGAAGCTATATAGATGCTCCTGTCTTGGTCCTTATCTTCTATGTGTGCATCCAAATCTGGTCGAAAATGTTCTCCACGAAATTCACGATAAGATTTTTAGATGCCACGTTGGTGGAAGGTCACTGGCGCACCGAGCCCTCACTCACGGGTATTGGTGGCCACGAATGCAACAAGATGCACATCAGTATGTTCAGAAGTGCGATAAATGTCAGAGGTTTGTTCCCCTAATTCATCAGCCAGCCAAAACTCTCACTCAACTCACCAGCTCATGGCCTTTCGCCCAATGGGGTTTGGATATTGTTGGACCGTTGGCACGAGGCACTGGGAATAGGCGATTCTTCATCGCTACAACCGACTATTTCACTAAGTGGGTTGAAGTTGAAGCACTAGCAAGTATCAAAGAAGCAGACACAAAGTAATTTGTCATGAAGAACGTCGTGGTCCGTTTTGGCATCCTGCGGGTACTAATTGCGGATAATGGAACATAGTTCGATGGAAAGATCTTCAGAAAGTTTTGTTCCAACCTCAGAATCTAGTATCAGAACTCTTCTCCAGGCTATCCACAAAGTAATGGGCAGACAGAAGCATCAAATAAAACCATCATCAACGGAGTAAAGAAATGGCTTGAACATGCAAAAGGAAAATGGGTTGAAGAGTTACCCCATGTGCTATGGGCCTACCGAACCACAGCACGACGCTCAACGGGGGAAACACCTTACTCCATAACTTATGGAATGGATGCCATTATCCCACTCGAAGTAGGTCTCCCAACCCTCCGGTATGAATTGTTTGAAAGCACAAGTAATGAGGAAGCTATTGCACATGCACTGGATATGGCAGAAGGCCGAAGAGAAGTTGCATTGATCAGACTTGTAGCATATCAACAGCAGCTCATCAAAAGTTTCAACTAAAAAGTTTTCCTAAGGCAATTCAGACCTGGAGAACTGGTTTTGAGGAAAGTTATGGATCACAAAAGGGTGCCTAGCGAAGGAAAACTTGGGCCTAACTGAGAAGGTCTATACAAAGTCACAATTATTGCTAGAAATGGAGCTTACTACCTAGAGGATCTTAAAGGCCGAGTGTAGACACCCCAATTTTGACCGGCCCTAAGACTTGGGCGCTTTCTTTTAATTACCCGATGATGACAATTAGAATGTGTTTCTCACAGAATCCTCAGTAAGAAAGATGGAATTTGAGCTTTAATCCCAAACTTCACCATTTTGGCCAAATTGTTTTAAACTACTAAATATTTCATTAGTTTAGTATTTTGTCATTTTGCATAATTTTATGTGTTTGTTCATATATTTGGCGTTTTTATATAAATTGGTATAAATTATATATTTTATATATTATATTATATATATATTATAAAAAAATATAATAATAAAAAAATTATTTTGATGTCGGCAGCCAACATTCAAATCAAACTTTGCATAACTTTGCATATATATATAGATATTTTATTATAAACCATTAAATAGGTTGATACCATTAATTATAATATATATATTATATATTATTAGATTTGTATTATTATAAAAAAAATATATAATAAAAAAAATTGTTTTGATGTCGGCAGCCGACATCCAAATCAAACTTTGCATAACTTTGCATATATATATTATATTATTATAATTTCCTTATATAAAGACACAGTATGAGGAGGCCCAGCAGGGAGAAAAAAAAAAGGAAAAGTCTGGGAGAATCAAAAGGAGAGAAGGGAGGCTAATTAGAAAGAGAAAAAAAGAAAAAAGGGGGAAGGATCTGAGAATTAGATTAGAGAATCAGAAAGGGAAAAAAGAAGTGGTGCGAGAGAGTTTGAGAAGAGAGAGAGGGAAAATAAAATATTTTCTTTGATATTTTTATTTCCATTTCATCAATACACCATTCAAAAACCAACCACTAAAGCTGTAATTTCAAATTTTGGACTAAGAATTGAGAACACATTCCACAAACTTGAGAGTAATCAAAAGAAAGTTTGTGACTCAGAAAATTCATCATTTCCCAACAGGTGAGTTTTCGCAAATTTTCATTTAATTTTAAAGTGTGATATAATTTGTTTAAATACTTCATTTACTTCTTTTCATAACTATTATTTTTATCGCTTTAATGGGATGGCTGCACCACCCACATATCTGCTGTAATTTAAATATTGTATATAAATTGTTGTAATTTATTACTTTAAATAATCTACCCCACCGGATGAATAGTACCTTCAGCGGTGAATAGTAATCTCCGGGGGTGAATAGTACTTCCGGCTATTTAATTTTGCTCGCTTTCTATAGCTTAATTACAGCACTATTGTATGCTATTTAGGGGGCTGTTTAATTTATTTCAATAATTTACATTTTAATATCAAGTTTGTTTGTACTAACCAATTAATCAACTTCGCATAATCATCTCTGCAACCTCCCTCCATTCTTTGCTTATTTCGATTAAAAAGTTGTGAAAAATTAAGATTGTGGTTCAAGTATAAGAAATGAACTCTTCCACACTTAATGGTTTAATCTCTTCGGAGATTCATTACCAAAGGTATAAAACACTCTATGCTTAATGGTTTAATCTCTTTGGAGATTCACTACCAAAGACATAAAATGTTTTATGCTCAGGAGGTTCATTACCAAAGGTATAAA